GGGGGGGGGGGGGGGGGGGGGGGGGGGGGGGGGGGGGGGGAGGGAGTCCTCAGGCTGTAAAACGACAGCAGTATCGTGCTCGGGGATGTTGTCCCTGAAGGAAACGCGGCCGAAGCGAGGAACAGCCAAGAGAGGACGCTTGTTTCATCTCAACGTCAAGGGATGGATGTGGAACAACACGTATGCCTACGCGCTGTTAGACCTAAACAACCCGGATTGGTCATTCGAGAAGCGAGTCTTTCCGCACGCACTGGGCGCAGGCTAGCCCACGACGGCACAGACAACCAACCCACACGAAGGACGCTGCTGTCGTCCAACTCCTGCGCCCCCCTCAACCCTATGAAAAGAAAACGTGCTGGCTTTTCTTCTCCAGCTACAAGACTGACGGCTTTTCGTTGGTCAGCCGGGATGGCCACGGTCGATGCGAAAGCAAGAAATACTAAAGCAAGAAACACACGAATACAAACAAAACGCCCAGTGTAAGTGGGGAGCGGGTTCCCAGCCTTATTTCTGCCACAAGACACGTACATATGTACGTAAGTAACTTGTTCGTGGAGGGGGGCACCATGAAGGGTGACGGTTACACGAGGAGACTAACGGCTACTAATACTCACAATTGTTACATTACGGACGGGAAAAAACAAAGAGAGCAGCATCGTAGCATCACGATCGCGAACCCTAAGGCGAGGTGGTTCAAATTGGCTGTTTCATTTAGAAACACAACAATTACAATTTTAGCAATCTTGAATGAATGTACACATTCTAGGAGCTTACCCGTGAGAGGCCACCTCCCAGCCGGCCTCAACCATCGCCTTTCCGGCGGCGGGATTCCTTTCGAGGGCCATCGCGCACGCGTACACTTTTCATTGCACGTGTTGTTGTTGTTGATGATGATGATGACGACATTGTTGTTCGGTCGGTCGGCGCGTCGGATCAAGCAAAGCGCGAACGTTGATGTAAGACGGTGTGACGAGAGACGGGGGCGGAGACAGGCAAAGGCTAATAGATTGAGGCCACAGAACGAGTCAAAGAGATGGGGCGAACTAGAAAGAGGGCGTACACCCGTAGGTGTGGGATCCAAGATACCACCCCCCCTGTGGACCGATGCAGCAAAAAAAGCTCGAATAGCCCCCACGACACAAGAGGATGCCGAGAAAAAATGACAGGCTTTCGGCAAGCTCTTGACTAGACGGCTCCGACGCCGCAAAAACTTCGGTGCTGCTACCGTCGCTCTTCCTGCTGCGGAGAAATCGAGCTTCTGGACATCGATCCACGGGGGGGTTGATACCTTGCATCACCTATTGCATGCTCGAGGGGGACTAGACTTGCCAGGATTGGCAATTGATCCATATCCATCAGGAAACCATCTGAATGTAGGCGTGATGGATATTTGATCACGTGCCAATCCTGGCAAGTCTATAGGACACAGACAAGAAGTGTCGCGACGCCGGCCATGCCAAGAGCAGGCCGCGGTTAGGATGGTCGCCAGGCGGGAACGATGATTCTACAAGCTGAGCAATACGTACGTCCAAAGCGGGGTTGAAGTCACGATAAGCTGCATCCATGCATCTCTCGCCATCTGTACTGCGAAGAACCGCGGTCCGCGTAGTAGACTATTGGAAGTGGCGCTGTTTTGAGTGCGGTAGCTTCGTCAGAGGTGGGGGGCGGAGGCCCCGCCCTCTGCCGAGCACCCAGAACAGCACGTCGCACCCAAAACAAGCGGCGAGGAGAAGAAACGAACGAGCCTTTTCCGGTCCACACCTCCTCCTAGAAAATCGGACGCGTCCTGCCTTATAATAGCAGGACGGCACGGCATGAGGCCGATAGCCAACTCCTCCCGTACACGTACCCCCCTCCACACTACTACTATTGAGTGCGTGCTTCGCAAAGCGAGTGAGTAGTGTTGGTTGCTTTTTGTCGATTACCTCGCTCCTCACTCACCAGTTACCGGGAGGTCTTTCCCCGTGAAGAGCCGGTGCAGCCGCCAGAACCCCGCCCGGCTGCCGTACTCGTATAGCGACTCCATGTTGGGGCAGCGAACGCCCTCCTTCGGCGACGCCCCTACGAGCTCGGAAAGGAGGTGCTGCACAGGAAAAAGGGGGGGACAGGGGACAGGGGACAGGGGACAGGGGACAGGGGACAGAGGATAGCAGCGGCAGTGGTGAAAAACAATCAACCCACCGAACGCACACGGAAGGCAAGAGAGAGAGAGAGTCGAGTCGAAAGCAGAGGCAGGGGGTTGACATCAGGTCGGCAGAATGGAAAAATGCAGTGATACGTGAACGTACATGGAGTAAGACGCAGCAACACACACACAGACACACACAAGACAAGGACAAAAGCAATGTCAACCGGTACAGTAGTACTTGGCAAGACTCTCGTGTTTGTTCTTGGTGGGGGTTGCAAGGATAAGGATGTTGGGGGCTCGACAACTGGAGCGCAGCCGCGGCAATGGCGTACGCCGAACACGAGGAGAGCGGTTCTCGCCGCTGGGACAACCAACGTACGCAGACTATTGTACATCCTGACGAAAGACGCACCCCGCGACATCATGATCCACCACATCGATGGTTGGCTCAGGGGCGGGCTGCTATGACGCCTATCAAAGCTATCAAACTATCGAAAATTCACATTAAAAACCGTTCCGTTCTCTCTGCCCCGTACCTTCTTCTATCCGCACTAGTATAACACTTGACGAGGTCGATTCCCGTGGTCACAGGCTAACGTATCCCAAAAAAGGTACACGAAAATAAAATGGGACCGAAGGGTCCGCAAGCCAATAGAAGCCAACGGCAGATAGTCTAGGCCACTCCGCTCGCCTCTACACGCTATGCGAGGTACCCTAAATTGGAAAAAGAAAGAAAAAACAAAAACAAAACAAAAAGAAGAGAGCAGACGGAGAGAAGGGAAATAGAGAGAGAGAGACACAGACAGAGAAAGACTTTACATGGGGTGGCAATTTTCTTCCAACGCAAATGTGGACGCCCTCACTTCCGAGTGGGTGTCTCCCTCGTGAAGCACGCAGTTCTCGGCACCTTCCTCGTAGTTGATCACGATCTGAACCGCAAGCGTTGCCTGCACATGGGGGATTCATTGCGGGGTTAAACTACTTGGAGTAATCTTCGCTTGAACGAGGTGGTGGTTTGTTGTTGTTGCTGTTGTTGTTGTATTCACATTAAAAACCGTTCCGATCTCTCTCTACCCATTACCTTCCTATGTCCGTACCGATCCAACACTCGACGCGGTCGATTCCCGTGGTTGCAGGCTAACTTACCCTAAAAAGGTACACTCAAATAAAATGGCCCCGAGGGGTCCGCAAGTCAATAGAAATCAACGACAGATATTCTGGAGTCCTCCACTCCCTCTGCGCGCTATGCGAGGTAACAACTGAGACTAGGAGTCACCATCACGGGCCGGAGAGAATGTGGGTGGAGATTGCTGTTTAAATCGCGGGTTGCATGGATATTCCTGGGCACTTTTTTGGTCTGTTGAATCGCAGGCGCGTGAGAGGGAAGGGAAGGTGTGAACGAGGGGCGGGCTGCTAATTACATTCCCATCTACTGCCGCACGCCATAATCTACTACTGCTGTACTTCACACATGTAGAAGTGGGTTAGGGTGGTGACAACGGCCTCATCCAGCGCATCACCGTGACACATTGAAGGGTTGTTGTTTTTCTTCACATTAAACTCGTGTCAGTTGCTAATCCCAAAATCTAACAAAGACTCGGTCCGTGGTCACAAAACTGCTAGAGCCATCAGAAGATTTAAGGGTAGTACTTGAGCAGTAGTACCTTCAGCAGCGTCAGCTTTTCCTACTCCTTTCGCATGATTCGGTGTCTACGTTTGAATGTCGCGCGAGTGCACTGCTCTGCTGCTGCTGTGTATGCTAAAACTTACTTAGCATGCGCCTTGCGTAAGGAGACCACCACGGTGCTTGTTCCTGCACATACATTTTTTTTTTTTCTCCCATCATTGGAATCTGTCGTCTGCCACTCTGGCCCCTATTCTCCACTTCTACCACAGCTAAATAGACCAGCTGAAATAGACGACCCAACCGGGGTCACATAGGAGGGGGGGGTTGGACCCCCTCCTGCGGTTCCTGCCTGAGATATTTTTATTGCGAGAAGGGTACAGCAATCCCTTCCCTCGCGACTTGAGAAGTCGATCAGGTTTACTAACAAGCGAGCTTTGCAGCGCATCGCTTCGATGTACACACATGTGTGCAACTAGACTCACTCACCCCACCAGGCCACTTGGGATCGGGGGTGCCGCTCCCGTATCCCAGCATGTCTCTCTTGGGCGTCCCATAAATGGCGCCCGACCCCCCAACGGCGGGAGCTTTCAAGCGGCTTGTCATGTTTGCTGATATGGGAAGTGCAGAGCGGAGTGTGAGTGTGAGAAGCCAGCCAGCAGAGTGTGGAACTGACTCTGACCCGAATCAATGGTGTATGATATCAACAATAAACCATTGGATGCTGACAGGGGAGCGCATGTAGTAAAAATAGCCTACAGGAGAGGAACAACTCTATATGACCATTGACCCGAATGGCCTACAGCTTGCTCCTGGGGTTCCGTGTATCGAAATTTATCTTGCAGATATGAGAAACTCCGATTGGACGGACCCCTAACAGCCAAAATAAGCAGGTAAGACCTAGACCAGGCTTGTGTGTGCCGTGCGTTGCCGAACCAGAGAGCAATACAGCAAGAGAAGGTGCGTCATTTTCAGCAATACATCCTCTCGACATCTCCTCATGCAGGTGTGGTGTCGGTTGCTGGTCGGTTGTCGTTGCTGCAACCACTGCCTCGTGCGGACCGGTAAATATCGCGCTCCAGGTGTAGGCTTGTATCGCCTGCGCATTGTTCCGCTGCTGGCCGCAGCAGTTTGTCGGCGGGCGGATTTGGTCGCCTCTGTGACCTCGAGCAGCAGCAGCAGGGATTTCGCCTGCTCTATCGGGGAGGCATGGCTGTAGTTATGCAGAGCCCTCCTGCTTGCTTAGATCTGTAGTCTGACCCGCGAAGCTCACATGTGTTTTTTCTCCGCTGCCGTCTGTTTCGACCACACTGCGGATTAGTATTGGCGCTGTACGAGAGGTGCACCAGTATAACGACGGCGGTTGCTTGGGGAGTTGTAGCTCTATCCGACAGCATCAGGGAACAGAAGCGGGGGAGGCTTTGTTGCGATGGCGATGAAAGAGTTCGAGATGTCGGATGTCACGGCAGGTGAGATACTTCCTTTGCTTTTTTCTTACGCACAAAGATGTGTGTGTATTGAATGTACCACTATTCGTAAGGCAAGCACTGCTTGTACTGCGGTCGTGTGTTGCCGGTTGCCCGGTACACCCACAGGTTGTGGGAGGGAGACCCACAGGAGGCCGACACTTGCTGTTGTTGTATCGTGACTCTGGAAGCACGCCCCGAGAGTAGCGCGTGCATTACTTTGCAACCAAGTTCGGCTTATTCGCGCTCTACTATTCTCATCGTACCGCTGTTCCGAGGCCGCCGTCCAAACGTTCCACGCACAGCAGATTGCTATACACTCCCTTACCGAGTACTCGAAGAGGAATTGGTAAAAAATATGCCCAGTACATGTACCCAGCCGGTCTCCCTCCACTCACTGCAAAAACGTTTGAAGACTTCAACGCTTCCCCTTCGACTGTGGTTGTATCTCGAAAGGGTAGTCTTTCTGTGAGACTATGTATGTACTTTCCTAGTAACTGGTAGTCTACCCAAAATTACCTGGTACTGCTGTATGTATGCATACGATACCACTCCTTGTAAAGCAACATGTACCAAACCCACCGGCAAATGGCCAGTAACAAGTATTGTTGTATAATAGTTGTTTGTTCAATGCAGTAACAACCGTTCGGGTGTCCGGTCAGTACCTTGAAACATCCGTACTGGTCCAACTCACGCGGACGGACGCCTTTCGTGGTCACAAGCCAACAACCCAAAGACCTGGTACATGTACGACCTTTCTAGAAATCACAACTATGAATATAACACGAGATGACATATCCCCTGGACCAGTTTTCAATGCTAAATTACTCCACGACGAAGAGGATGCATAAACGAAACGATACATTTTTGGAAAGCTCTTCGAGAGACGGTTCCAACGCCGCCGTTTTCGGCGCCGTGACTCTTTCTGTTGTTGAGAAATCGATATTTGAAAAAGCGGTCCACGGGGTATGTTATCTTGTGTCATTTACGGTACAGTACACGTTTCTGGAACCCAAAGAAACCATGTGCAGAGATTCCTGGCTTCGGGGACTAGAAACGATCTTGTATACTCAACATCTGGTGGCCCCTACTTGTACATCTGTTACCCGCACCGCACGCCCTCGCTCACGCAAAAGCAACTGACTCCTCCGGAAAGCGAGGAGTGATCCTCGTCCGCGTTCGTGATCAAACAGAACGTTGCAAAAGAGGCAACGTGAATGATCCAACCCTCTATTGAGACAATTCTCCCGCACTCACAAAACCCAGAATTCAACGACTTCCAAGCAGTCTCGGAAATCTTCTGCGTTTGGGCGAATGACTATTTATTTACTTGTTGTTCTTGCACATGCTTCCTGCTGTTGCCCCTCCTGAGTCACCGCAGTTCCTCAAGGTGTTTTTTCTAGAGTTGTGAATCGGAACGATGTACACGATATATATCGTCCGATATATATCGATATCGGTATCGAAAATTCGTGCCGATGTTCCGACCGATGTTTTCTTAGGGGCTCCGTGAATCAAATTTAGGGTATGCGCAGCAGTACGGAGCCCCTGTACGCCACACACACACAGCACAGCAGCGCAGAAACAGCAGACAACAGCACCATGTCCAGAACCAACCGGGAAGTAGACACAGGGAGAGACCGAAGGAGGGTACTGCTGAGGATACGCGACAATACATCAATCTTAATCTTTTTTTTTTTTTTCTACATTCCGTGCGATGTTTGCAGCTGAAGTCAAGCCCTTTTTGATGCCGCATTTGGGCCCATTTTGACGGGAAATGAAAGGAAAATGCACCAAATTTTCTGCCTCCGGCGGCGCCTCCGGCGAGGCCCCCTCACCAGCCGGGGGGGGCCGATGGGGGGGCTCGCTTCGCTCGCCCCCATCACGGCTCGCTGCGCTCGCCCGATATTTTCTCCGATATATCGCCTACGGCGATATATCGGAGAAAATATCGTTATATCGGCTGCTGCGCAGCCGATGTAAAATATATCGTTTTTTCGTACCGATTCACAACTCTAGTTTTTTCTCTTTCTCGAGTCCCCGTCAGTGCTCAATGCCTCTGCCGCGGGCGCATTGCATCGAACAGCTTCAGAGATTGGTGATCTGAGAATGCTTAGCTCCATGGTTTCGTCTGAAGGACATGTCCGATCTGAGTGTGTAATGCTGATCTGTACGACACAAAAAGTGAGCTAGACGTCCTGTTTTTCAAATATTTGCTGGTGATCGTCAACTTATTGATAAATGCAGGAATCGACGCATCAAACGAGACAAGAAGAGAGGACGTGATTTTTTTTTTTTTCGTTGTTTTTTCGTTTTTTCCGAAGGAGGCGAAGACACGGAGGCATTCTACGGGGCTGACGGGGGCAGCAACGGGGTGGACGCGGGGCAGCTGCTGGGCGGCGGGGCAAAGCTGAGCGATGACTCTGCTTCCAGGGGAGGGGAGGCTCAGACGGTGTGGTGCGGGTGCTTGTCCTTGGCCTTCTACCAGCAGGTACAGCAGTGCCGCGAACGTTTGTTGTTGTTGCAATCGGCGGCTGTGACCCTCTCGACTGTTGTTGTTGCTGTTGTCGTTGCTGATGTTGTTGTTGTCGTCGTCGTCGTCGTCGTCGTTTGTCGTTTTGGGGGCGGCGGCGATGTTGTTGTTGCTGTTCTTTGTTGTGGTATGTGTACTATTGTTGTTGTTTGCTGCTGTTGTTTTGTTTTGTGTGTCGATGTCGGTTTTCCCTGAACGCCGGGTCAGCAAGCCCCGAAACCACCCGTGCAAACAATCGGTACCTCTCAGGGGGAAGACGGGGGGGGGG